GGAGAGCACATCCGTCAAGGGAAAGGACGGCTTCTTCAGGGCCCAACCCATCTGCGCAATGGTAAAACGTTTGGCCATCTGCCACCCTGTAAACATGTGCGTCCCAACAGGTGGGTCCCTCTGTCCTGCCCCTGCACGGGTGCTTTCCGGGGTGTGCGTGGGTGTGAGGGTGGGTGTTTGTTCCTTCCTTCCTTCTTTCTTTCCTCCTCCTGTTTTTTTTGCATGGTCCAAAGATTCAAGGTTTCCCCTTTTGTCATCTTGTGCACTTTCTGGGGCGGAGTTGGACAGGTTTCGTTTTCCCGCTTGCCATTCTACCATTTGTTCTCGCCTCACACAGTGGAGTCCTCTCAGTTAATTCAGTTCCTGTTTTGTTTGTTTGTTTAAAAAAATCAACAACACCCCCCCCCGTCATGGTCTGTATGTTAAGGGGAGGCTTCCTCGGAGACAGGGCGGGGGATCTGCTCGCCGGGCGGCCTGGAAGCCTCGCAGCAGTCAGCCAGAGGAGAAACCGCCTCCCTCAGTTCCCTAACATCTTTTGCAGGCTTCTGCGTTGCGTCGGGAAGCGACTCTTCAGAATCCGTGTTCAGATCCTCCTCCTCTTCCTCCTCCTCGTCCTCATCCTCATCGTCATCCTCCTCCTCTTCCTCCTCCTCTTCCTCGTTCTTCCTCCTCCTCCTCTTCCTCCTCCTCTTCCTCGTTCATTTCTTCCTCCTCCTCGTCCTCCTCGTGGGAGGAGTCATCGTCATCGTCTGCGTTGCTGCAGCCGGCTGGCAGCCGCTCGCCCCCCAGGCGATCTGCGGCCTCTCCGCCCGGGGAGACGGTGGTGCCCCCTGCCGTCTCCGGGGGCTTCTGGCTGAGGTCCAAGGAGTCGTTGAGTCCCACGCCCGCCGCGTTCTGTAGGAAGAAGAGGGAGCTGTTTGCATCGGTGCCGAGGTTGAGCGAGCCGTCCAGGTTGACGGAAGAGTTCTGGGCCTCGTACTCCAGGGTGGTGTGCGGAAGGCCCTCGGGGCCCGGAGAGATGGCCGGCAGCTCTCCGCGCTCCTGCTTCTCATGCTTGCGCTTGTGGGAGTCCATCTGTGACATGCCGACCACGGTGTGCTTGCAGCCCGGGTAGGTGCAGTGGAAGTGGGAGCACTTGAGCTTGTACTTGCACTCCGGCACTTCACAGTCCACACTGGAGCTGAACTGGCAGAAGCCGGCGGCGCTGATCACGTCCTGCTTGCCGTGGTGCTTGCGGTGGGCCGTCACCTTGGTGCTGTCGGTGCAGCGGAAGCCGCAGCGCAGGCAGTGGAAGTGGGTGCTGTTCCCCGAGAACTGGCAGTCCGGGAAGTTGCAGCTGAGCGAGGACTTGAAGCGCTTGAAGTCGTCCAGCACCAGGTTGTCGACCCGGTCGTGGTGCTGGGCGTGCTTGTACATGTGGGTGCGGCCGCAGAACTTGTAGCCGCAGTTCTCCCGGGTGCAGTGGTAGTGCGTCACCTTCAGGGAGAACTGGCAGCTGGGGTCCTTGCAGTCCTCATAGAGGTCGTACCGCCGGAAGCCCTCCAGCATCATCCCTTCGTCCAGCATCTTGCGGGAAGAAGCAGTCTTGCGCCGCTTCCCGAAGGGAGACATGTCCTCAATGATCCAGAAGCGTTTCTTAGCACCTGCCGCCGTCGGCATCGTGATGGTGTTCCCTGGGGGGGGAGAGAAAAGGGGGGGAGAGGGAGTTTAGAACCGGGTTCCACTGGGCTCTGTTTCCCCTTGCTTTTTGGATAACTTGGGTGGATTCGGACAAACAACCCGTGTCGGTCTTTGTAGTGGCCCTAAGAGGCAGGAGGAGTCTGGCTCGCTTCAAGCGAACGCCAGCGAGGGTCACTTCTGACTTACGGCCAGGGCAAAGACCAATCTTGGGGAGAGGAAGGGGGGGAAACCTATTTATCTGGACCCACACAACCTTCACACTTGCAGGAGGCAGGACTGCCAGTTTCCACCAGAACTGCTCGGTCTCCCTTGCTGTGGTCTGGCAAGATTTGAACAGAATTGGGCGTGGAGGCAGGCTTTTCGCTTTTGGTCTTGCTTCTTTCCAATTGCTCCATTGTTCCCTTTTGACCCCTTCATCTACGAGGAGGACTGTATGAATGTGGTTCCACACCTGACTCTTGGCTCCCCAGGCACAAAGCCACAGGAGGCCCGAGCAGGCCGCTTGATCTGACATGACATGCCACACACTCCTGGCTCACAAAAGGGAACATTTCATTCATTCTAGGTGGTTTTCTTCTCCCCCCCCCACAAAAAAGGAGCTTCCCCTGCCTAATGTGGTGGGGCAACAATCTCTGACATGCTTGGATCACCCAGAAAGCCTTCCCGCTGCCTTTTTGACACAGGGAATGCCCGAAAAGTGGCCGAAGTTCACATGACAGCAGGTGTGCCTACAAGGGCGGGGGGCTGCCCCCTGGACGTAGAAAGCCCTGTGCAGTCCTTTCTGAGCTCTGGGGCCCCAAGGCGGCTGCTGATGGTGTCTGGCGAATGTTGAAGACTAAGGCTATCATGTATGCTTATCTACCCCAAGGACTGAAGGAGGGGGGCACAGGGACCATTAAAACAGAATAAAAGGGAACAAGTAACGGGCTCCCCAGCAACCTCCGAGGGGAGACCGATGTTTGTGCCCCTCCTTCCTGTATAAATCTCATCCCGAACCGCGGTGACAGGTACAGTAGGACCAGCCTGTGCTCTGTAGCCTTCTAAGCAAGGGGAGCTATTGGAGGGCTGACCCCTCCCCTCCCCCTTTTCGAAGGAGCCCCAATCCTGTTGGCTCTCGTGCACAGCAAAGCGGGAGAGCCCGAGGAAAGCTTCTCGATGAGTCGGCCCTGCCTGGATTGTTTCAGGAGATCTCAGGGCGGGACCATCATGGCCACAGGCAGGGCATTGTGTCAGTGCCCATGTGCCAGCCTCAGAGGCGTGGCGCGCGTGCCCATGTGCCAGCCTCAGAGGCGTGGCACACACACACACACACACACGGTGTCCCAAGTGTGCCTCAAGCAATGTTTTGGACACCTCAGCCCCCCTCCTGCTCTGAATCACAGCCACCCAGGTCACTCTGAGCCTTGGATTTGGGCAACCGGGGGAAGGAGGGGGAGGAGAAACGACTTGCTTCCGTTCTGCCGCTCGCCACTGCCACTTTCACATCACCTGCTGAACACCTACCGGCACGTAAAGAATTTCTAGGGCAGCGGATTAATGATCTCGGCACCTTATCTGCCACCACAATTTATAATAATCAAGATCTACTGTAAGTCTGTTATTTCCAAGGCACCCTTACAGTTCCAGGTACCCATCTTTTTGAACAGGGGCGCGTCACGCCCGGGCCTAGAGCGCAGGGGGAAGGACAGAGCAGGGACGAGAACGGTGAGCGAGAGGGCGTGAAAAGTTTACCTGCTGCGTCCTGAACTAGAGGGACATCGCTTTTGACTGGAGCTGGAGTGGCAAGGACGGGTGAGAACCCTGTCGAGCTGGCGGTGGGCAAAACAAGGCCCCTGCTGGATCCCAGGGTGGCGCTTAGAAGAGAGTATGAGACACAGGATGGAGAGAAGAGATACGGGAGGGAAGGGAGGGGAGACCTGAGCAGGGCTTGTGAGAAAGATGGAGGCAGAGGAGGTGGAGGTGGTGGTGGTGGTGGTGGTGGTGCATTGTGGCTAACGTCATCACCGGCAGCGGCAGCGGCAGGCAGAGGAGGAGGAGCAGCCAGGCAGCCTGGAGAAATGTGGAAAGAAAAAAAATAGCAGGAAAAAGGAAGAAGAAGAAAGAAAAAAAGAAAAAACCGAACCAAAAGGAAAACAAAACAGAACAGAACCCAAATGAGGACCCAAGAGTGTAAGCGATACAATGAAAATGGAGAGCACATCCACATGTACAAGAAGAGAACTGTAACAGAGGAGGGAGATGGAAAGTGTGTGAGAAGCAGCAGCAGCAGCAGCAGCACTGGGGGGGGAGTGAGGGGTTGCCAGGGACAAGGCGGCAGAGGAGCGAGGGGAGGCCGGCCAGCCACCTCCAAGCATCCACCGGTTCCGTCCCCTCCCCAGAGGGCCGCTCTGGAACAGCCGGAGGGACTGGGGTCGTTTTGAACAAAGGACTTTTGAGACAGGCGGGCGGCTTCTTGGGTCTTGCTGGCCGGTCTCTCCTCCCTCGGTTTCTCCAGGACGCCGCCAAGAAGCCTTTCCTTGCTGCTCAAAGGGGCGCCAAGCGGCCCCCCTCACTCTGTTTTCCCCATGAACAAGTAAGCAGTGAGCCTCAGCCTAAAATCTACGCTAAGGAGGACGGACTGCTTTTTGAAAACGGGTAACAGGGAGACCTTCTCAAGCAGTGAGGCAGGCGGAGGTTACTCAGGGGACCTGGGGGGCCCTGCCGGCCAACCTCCCCCACCTGGAAGCCTTCCCCTTCTGGCCTTCTTCTAAGGGGGAGATGTATCAGTCCTGGTTTACAGCACAACGGCTTCGCACAAAAAGTGGTGCAGGACCCTCAGAGATTGCCAGGGTGGGGACCTTCCATACCATCTGTCTGGGTTTTCAAGCCAGATAGGAACTGCATGTCCCATTCTGCATTTTTTTTGGGGGGGGGGGAATTCCTTTGTATGCAGAGAAGGGAGATGCCAAAGTTGCTCAAGGCTGTGCTCTGGGCAGATGGCAGGAGAGCCCCGTCTGCCAAGGGGTGTGGGGAACTGGGCCTCTCAGAGGTGAGCAGGCCAGCTGACGGGGGCCTTGCAGGTGCCACTTACCTCCCGAACTGCTTTCGTTGCCCACGGGCGTACTGGAGCAGCTGCGGTCCATGTTGGAGGACTCTGAGGAGAGGCCACCAGGGCTGCACCCCGTATAGTCCACGTACTCCTCGGCTTCGGTATCCATCATGCTTTGGGGTCCCTGAAAGGAAGCCGGAGTCCCTGATGAGGTTGGGCTGGGCGCCAAGCTGCTGACTTGGGGGAGGCTCTCATTCCTAGGAGCGTGGCCAAGAACCTGGAGCAAGAACATGGACGCAGGGGGTGAGCACGGGCCTGACCAGCAGGGGCTCCCCGGGGACGGGAAGGGGGCATCTCAGCCAGTGCCGCTCTTTGGGCAAGGCATGGGTGGCTGATCCCGTCTGTGCTTGCCCTCCACCGGCGGCCCCGAGGAGCTGGACGTCCCAGCGGCAGTGGCTTCTTGGCACGCAGTTTAAGGGTGCAGCCAGGAGCGGTGGTTGGTTCTGTTTGACCGAGCAGATGTGTGCCCGGGTCTCCCTGTCTTGGGGACTGCACATGGGGACTTGGGTCTTCTCCTTTGTGACCTCTCACGTTGCAGCCACTAAGAGGGGTGGGGTGGTGGTGGGTGGTGGGATTTAGGCAGAGGCCAGACCCACCCTTAGGCAGAAAAAAAGTGGCCACCTCAGGCAGGCCATTTTGGAGGGCAGGAAAGGGCAAGCTTGTCACTCCTATACTTTCACGACTCTGGATGGGGAGAGGCGCTCAAGCAGTTTTGTATCTGGTGTGCCACCATGCTTTGTGTGACCGCGGTGTGGGTGTGCATTTGCTGTTCTGCCCCAGGTGGCCAAAACCTCTCAAGCGGGCTCTGTGCACTGGCAATACGCACGAGGGGGCTGACTCTCATGTCCCATACGCCACGGGCGAGTTCTCTGGGGTTGCCACAGGCAAAGAGGATGTTGGAAGAGCCGGTGTGTCTCTTACAGGGAGGATCTCTGAATGGGACCTGTCGGGAATTTTACAACTCCACCTAATATACCTTCACCCAAAGTCTTGGGGCAACCGTTTCCTCATATACAGCGGATGAGTGAAGGAGGACGAGCGGGTGATGTTTGTGCCGGGTGGGCTAAGAGTGCCCATAGGGAGGTCCCAATTCCCTGCTGCCCTTCCCGTCATGGTGATATTTACAGCGAACCCTGTTGGGAGGGGAGGAGAAGGGAAAGGGAAGGCGCACCCCCCCACACACACACACGCCTGGCACACCGAAGGCCTCAGGTTCACCACCCCACCCTGGCCTCACCTTCAGCTTCTGGGGAGCTGCGGCCAATCGGTGGAGACCGTCTGGCTGAAATATTGGCCAGCAGCCGAGGGAGGCATCCTTTGGTGTTGAGGGAGGGCCTGACACCAAGGAAGGCGAGGGGGGGGGGTTGGAAGTTACCTGAGTGGGAACGCGGTCAAAGTTCTTCCCGAGCATCCTCCTCATGTGCTTCCTGGCATGAGAAGTCATCTGGTGCTTCAGCAGGAAGGAGAACTGGCAGCCCTCTCGGATGCAGTGGAAGTGGCTGTTGACTTGGTTGTATTTGCAGCCTGGGAGGCGGGAGGGCAAGAAAAGATGCCGAACTCACAAAGGGGGCGAGGGGAGTGAGGAGGGGGCGCAACGCATCCTCTCTTCTTTGGTTACCAAGAGATCGGGAAGCAAACCTTTTAATTTAATGACGAGTTGGCTTGAAGGAGCAAAACCTTTCCCGAGATCGGATAGGAATCAGGGATGAAAAGGCCTCCTGAGGGAAGACCGCTCTCCCCGACTTTCCCCTGTCCATCGTTCCCTCTCTGCTGACGGAGACACTTGGGAAGGGGGGGGGCGGACATTCAAAGCACTTCTTGATGGCTGGAGAGGGCTGGGGGTGGTGGAAGTAAGAGGGGGGGAAAGCGGGTGCCTTTCACCAGGAAACCTCTGTTAAAATTCTGGTTGCTCAGAGAAGCCATTGGTGCCAAAGTTCAGGCCTCTGCCAACCTTTCCAGTTTGACATTGTTTACTCAAACTGCCTTTCAGCACCCCTAAATCACACCACATAATTCAATAAGTAGGGTCTGAAACACTGAATGTGTGCATTCGCTAAATGATTAAATGCCACATTTAAGAAAGCTCCCTAATGAACTGTGCAGCAGATTCTTAAACAAACAAGTCTTATTTTCAGACACAGGGGGGTTATCAAAAAGGTCTTGTCCAACAGGAACGGATGACTTCTCCAGGATAGGGCCTTATTTTTGAAGATTTATGACTTGCCTTTACAGCAACTAGCTCTCAGGGCAATATACCGTAAAAACACAAAATCCAAAATCCATATACGTACTGTACATCAAATCAGAAAACAGCACAATAAATAAATCAATTAAAAGCAGCAAAGACAAGAACAGTGGGCATCACAACAAGATCTAAAAATACCACAAACCCAAAAGTACTTAAAAACACAACAGTATGTAGGGCATTTAAAAGGCCCGTCCTTTTTAGTCCATAACTACTCCTTTCCGTGAACATTTAGTAAATTGAGCAGTTGAGTTAGAAAGTAACTGTAATTCATTGACTAAGATTTCTTTAATCTTCTAGTCGTTCTAATTCTCTTGTTGATATCCTGGAGGTTTTAGAAAATATTTAGCCTCTTTATTTACACCTAAGGTAAAGTCCGAAGGCGCAACCACCCGCGTGTCGCCCCTTCGTCCTTCCCTCCCTCCCTTCCTCCCTCCTGAGCCTCCCTTTCCATTCCCTTCTCGGGAGGAAGAGCAAGCCATGCCTGCCAGGCGGAGACGGGATGGCAAGAGGCAGGCGAGGGCTTGCCCGTGGCCCTGGCAGCTGCGCCTAGTGGCTCCTTGACCAGCTTGGCCTCCCCCCCCGGCGAGGATGCCCTGCAACCCGACTTTTGGGTTTGGTTGACCACTTTTGCTTCTCAAGGGTAGACCCTGAAGACCACCAATGTGCTTCTGACACTTTTGTCTGCCTGCCACAAGTCCCTTGAGGAGTCCCTCTCTGCCTCGACCCTCTCTAGCTTCTGTCCAGTCATTTATGAACATCCTCGTGAAACACTGCCTTTCTGTGGCTCTTTCCTTTTTCCCCCGGGATTGTTATGTGAGCCTTCAAAACCATTCCCCCCCCCAAAAAAAACACACCACACGGTCTGATAAGGCTGACTCTCTGATGAGGCAATCCCCGACCCACAGGCCAGCCTGCATGTGGCAGCCTTCCCCCAATCTGGTGCCCCCCCCAATGTGCTCAACGACATCTCACCCTCCCACAACCAGCAGAGTCCAAAACCCCTGAAGGGACTCAAGTGGGCAAAGGCTGTTCTGTGACCCCGGACGCCGCTCCCTTCGCCCCGACCAAAGGCCAGCAAAAGCAGCAGCCCCCCCCCCACCCAGGGACGGAGGAGGCCCTTGGAAACGGCGATGCTGGACATGGACACTTGGCTCCTGAACTCTGGGGTCCAGATGCCCAGTGCGGTTCTGTTACTGTGCTTCTGGCCACGGCCTGGCCAGCCACGTGGGGAAGGCGGGGAGACCCGCAATCGATTCCACCCAGAGAGAGCACCCTTTATCCTGATGGCTGGAGGCGCCAGAGGAGGAGGAGGAGGAGGCTTGAGAGGTGTTTACGATTTCATAATGGCTTTGGCAGTGGCCTGATAACTTTGGCAAACGAAGCTGCCAACCACACACCCCTGCTCTGTGCCGTCTATCGGGCGCTTTGATGTGCCGGCGCTCGGCTAGGCGGTTGGCATCGACAGAGGCACCCGTGCGCTTGCCTCCGGCACCGAAGCAGCCACGGCTGCCAAGAGGTAGGTGGGGTGATCTAGAAAACGATCCCCACCCCCGCCAGTATCAGCGGGGAACATTTACCTTTCAGTTTTGGCTAGGAGAGCCTGGCAATGAATATCAAAAGCGCTGTGCCCTCCAGCCAGGCGGAATTGGGTGAAAAACATCTACTGGGAGATTTCAGCATTTTCTGTTTCTCACGCTCACAGGAGACGTGATGGTAGCCAAGTCGGCCGCCTCCCCTCACCCTCGAGAGGCCCTGCACCCTGGGGAGGGAGGGAGGGAGGGAGGGAGGACCCACCTGATCCGTCTCGGTTTGGCCAGGGGAGATGCCCACTGAGGTTTGTGATGGGCTGTGAGTGGGGTGGGGAATCCCTCTCCCTCCCCCTCCCTCCCTCCCTGTGAGGTCCCGCTAGTCAGGGCAGGACCCGCGGATTGAAGGGAGCCGTTCCAGTTGAGGGAAGGATTTGTAAAAACTGGGCTTGTCTGCCCAGACGCAGAAGAAGAAGGAGGAAGCTGGTGTTTAGGGGCAGCAACTGCAGGTAGCCTGAGCGACCCCTGAAGCTCAGTTCTGGCTGCACAAAAGCTGAGGGAAGGCGGTCCCATGCAGCGATGAGCGTATCGGATTAGGGCTGAAAAGAGCCAGACCCAGATCTTTGCTTGGCCACTTTTGGAACGGTCACAGTGTTACGAGCCTGTGCAAGGACTTCAACAAGAATCCCGCAACAAAGCAAAAGACCAAGTTGGGGCCCCTGAAAGAGTAACTGCCAGACTAGCCGATCTTTTTTCACTTGGCCATGAAGCTCACTGGCCAACCTTGGGCCACCCACATATATATTCTCTCTCTCTCTCTCTCTGGGTAATCCAGGTTCACGGGTTGTTTTTGAAAGATGGAACGAAGGAAGAAGTACTTTCCACCTTCCGCTTCCGGAGGAAAAGTGGGCTCTGAGTACAAATATAAAGGCTACAAAGAGAAACCTGTGAGGAGGAGTCGTCTGGCGTGTGTCCGGGGCCCGCTGTGCTCTACACGGGGCCCTTCCTTCCCCTGCGTTCCACCCTTGAAACAATTGATCTGCACATGAGTAAATAATGACAAACCATTTTTAAAGCATTTCACACACCCCCTTGCTGTTTTTCTCTCTGGGTTTGTAAGGTCACCGGGTGAAAGTGGCACCACGTTACATCGGAGGAGGGTCTTACCTAGCCTGCCGCACTCTTCCCGCTTGGTGAAGTACTTGAAGCCGTTGGCTGCCCTCCTCTCCGCCTTCTCGTGCTTCTTCACGTGCCAAGGGAGCTTGGTGGTGATGTTGGTCACAAAAAAGCAGCCCGGACGAAGACAGTGGTAATGCCCTCGCATCCGAAACTCACAGTGCTGGAAAGGGGGGGGGGAATCAGCGGGGCAGTGCACGCCCATCAACCACCCTCTTTGGGACAGCCACCCTGGGGTCACAGGCCAAGTGGCCAATTAAGGGAGGGGGAAGCACACGCACGCATACACACCCCGCCCCTGCTGAAAAGCCCCAGAGGAATCAAATAGTCATAAACGCTGGGCCTATGCGGAATTTCAGTGCACACGGCACAGTGGCCCAACACCGACCGGCCCTTGGCTAGCCCAAGAGGTACCGCCGGGCCCTACGGCGTGGGGGAAGCAGGCCCGGTGGGAGGATATCATGCAAGACAGACACTGGATTCAATGGGCAGTGTGGACACACGGGGAGGCACAGGCTCTTGCTGGTTTCCTGGCCTTAACATCCCGTCTCCCCATCTTCGTTTCCTTTCACTGCGGCCCAGCGAGAGGCCAGGTAGGCGCTCCTGGGTTGGCCCTTACCTGGTTTGGGCAGAGGCACTGCAGGGAATAATACGCAAACTGGTCTCGCACATTCATCAGGTTGTTGTTGGGGTTGATGTGGTCGAGGCAGTGGGACTCAGCTTTCCCAGATGTCTTGCACACATACTTGCAGTTCCCGAAAAGACAGTGGAAGTGGAACTTGTTGGCATACTTGCAGTCGGTTGCCAGACAGGGATCGCTGGGAAAAAGGGGGGAAAAGCCATGAGCTCCACTGCTCCCCTTCTTTTTCAGAGACTCATTCTCTTTGGGGTGGGGGCTCATGAGCCGTGGCCATGGGAAACATGCAGGGTGCACCCTGAAAATCCTGCCCTCGGGCGGAGGGCTGTGCGTTGCTCCCTGAAGGCCATGGGGATGGTGTGTGTGTGTGAATATTCGACCCTTTCAATGTCGTCGTGGATGTCTGCTGCCATGACCATCACATTTCTCTCTATCTCTAACCATCAAGTGGCAGTCTATCCATCTGCTGCCATGACCATCACATTTCTCTCTCTCTATCTCTAACCATCAAGTGGCAGGAAGGGGAGGTCTCATGGGGATGTGTGTGTGTGTGTGTGTGTGTGTGTGTGAGAGAGAGAGAGAGCAAGAGAGAGAGAGAGAGCATGCATACAAGAGATTTCGTCCCTCCCTCTTAAGGATGGCCTCTGGTGCTTCCCAGCTGGAGACTACAGAAAACGGCCAGAGATGACAGGAGGGGGAAAGCAGGGAGAAAACCGGCCATCTACACAGTGACCTGCCCCGACCCAGACAACATCCCTGGAAATAGGACCACTCACTTCTCCTGGAACTGGAGGAACCCGGGCTTGACCTGAGGCTTGGCGTTTTCGAGGGACGTCGTCGCCAAGGGGGAGGTGGCCATGTTAGGCACTGACGCCGGGAGCTGAGCCATGGTGGAAGCCAGCTGCTTCCAGGCCAGGAGGGTGGGAGCCGAGGGGACCGTGGCCGGGCTTGGAGCGGGGGCGTCAGGGCCGCAGGCGTTGGCCAGAGTGGTGGAAGAGGCGGAGGGTGAGGAAGGGGCGACGGGAGTCTTGGTCTCCGCAGCAGCCGTCGTCGGGAAGGAGAGCTCAGAGTTTCCTTTCACAGCTCCGCCCTCTGTTCGCAAGTGGAAGCTGGGGGGATGATGGGAGGTGGGGAAAGAGATGATTGATTGATTTAACAATGATTTATTTGATTACTCCAGCACCATTAGCTGGCTCTCGTCCCCTTCGATCCCCAAGCATAGCTTGTGTAGCCCCACATTTCATTCCACTTCCTGCTTGATGACACTACACTCACTTTTTAAAACTGGAAGCTCTTAATGAAACACAGTAGGTGCTCCTGACACGGCCTTTCTTCTGCTCAGGCAAACCTCAGGCATCTTTTTCACGATCAATCACATGCTTTCTCTTCCTCTACTACCACACTTTTGAGACTATATTTTTAAAATAAACTCTCTATATGTGACTGAGTGAATTCGATTTCAATGAAATTGCTTTAGATTGCAGCTTCAGGAAGACTTCATTTAACCTTTTTTTTTAAACATGAAAAAGTAAACCCATAATCCATATTTTTCACCCTCTCCTCCTAGGGGCTGTCTCTCTACCTCCCATAATCCTCTATGCATGGACATTTCCTGCTTCTGAAAGCATTGAGCTTTTAAAGGGAAATGGGAGGCCATGATGTGGTCTACACAAAGCTGCTAAGAGGGCTGGTCAGAGATTCCATCCAAGGAACCCTGCCAACGGGACCACAGCTAAATCCTGCCCTGTGCACGACAGAAGTTCGAGATGGGCACCAGGAGGCCAGTCAAAATGCTTTCTCTCCGCACAAACACAGGCACACACCACTATCTCCCATCCAACAGGCTGGGGCAGACAAGATCACGGCATGGCCTGTGTGGCTGCAGTTGTGACGCCTGGCCAGGCCACTCGATTTGGGAGAGGGGACTGCCCTGAAACTCAAGGGCTCCCCACCCCTAGCAGACCCTTCACTGTGGCATGGGGGCAAGGAGAGCCGGGGTGGGGGGTGGGGGAAGGGCAGCCCAGGTCCGGCCCGCCCACTTACTTGGCATGCTTGATGGCTCCGTCCAGGGTGCTGAAGAGGGCGCCGCACTCCTCCACCACGCAGTGGAAGTGCACTTTATGGAGGAAGTCACACTGGGCGTCGCAGAAGTCCTTGGTGCCAAACCTGCCAACGAGAGGCACAGGAACTCACCCCCTGACGGAGATAAATGGGGGACACTGCCAGGGGTGCCTCTGGCGGAGCGCTGCCCGCTGCCTCTGACCGGCAGGGGCTCTCCAGTCTCTTACCTGAAGATGCAGCCAGGGGAGGGCAAAGCGCCCCCTTCTGCCGCTAAGGGAAGGCTCTTGCCCATCTCAGGCAGGCAGGCAGGCAGGAGGAGGCAGCGCTCCACGTTCCAAGGGAGGGCCTGCTTCCCCACCTGCTAGCAGCAAAGGCACCTTTGGCCACTAAAGCAGGTGAGTGGTGTCCGCTCAGCTAGAATATTCCTCCCTTGGCTTTGAACCCGGGAGGCAAGGACAGGAGCCAAGACGTAAAGGCTCTGCCTGATCAAACAGATCCAGGGTGACAAAAGGAGGAGCTGTGCTCAACTGGGAAGAAGCCAGGACATGATTCCAGAGGAACATCAATCTTTTAATTCACTGTTTGGCTTGGAATTGGTTGAATTTAAATACATTTACATACTGAAAAACACTGAAGGTGTCCCTTGAAACACACACACACATATCTTAGAAGAGTGTGACAGTGTCTTCTGCCTGCAAGATAACTTAAATGCGATGTAGGAACACCATCATTTAGGAAGGAAGGACAGACTGTCTCTATCTAACACATGATTTTTCATTGTATTTGGAAGGACAAAATCTTTTTTTTTAAACACTGTTTGAATTGATTTAAAGAAAGCCTGGGTCAAAACGTGTTGAACATTACTGTTAAAATAGTACTAAAGTAGCTTAAAATGCTTCAATGCATCACTGTTGTACACAGTGAAAGTAAAATAAACGATGTTGGTTTTGGCCGAACACCATCAGTACACAGTGCGGTGGCCTTTAAAACACAAACAAGCAAAAGGAGAGCTCTTTCAGTACAATCCTGTACAATAGGATTTACTCTCAGGTAATTACATATAGAGGAGAAGGGGACGTCAGAGGATGAGACAGCTGGACAGTGTCATCGAAGGGACCAAGAGGAATTTGACCCAACTCTGGGACGCAGTGGAAGACAGGAGGGCCTGGCGTGCTCTGGTCCATGGGGTCATGAAGAGTTGGACATGACTTAATGACTAAACAACAAGTACGTATAAGATCCTAGCTTTAGCTTCATTCTCCAACAATGCTCAAATGAAAGACAAGCCTCTGCTCTATGCCAAATATCTGTTACTTTCGAAAAAATGCCAAAAGAGGGAGAAGTCTTGAAAAAAGGCCAAATGTGACATCTCAAAGTGTCCATTCCCAGTCAGTTTGGCATATTGCGGGGACCTGTTTGATCCTCTAAACATTGTCAGAGAGGGCATCCAGAAACCTCCTTCCGATTGTTCTGATTTGGGCAATAGCATGGCTTTCATCAATGCCAGAGTGGATTTTGGGAAAAGTCATCTTTTTTTCTCTTCTAAAAGGACACAGAAATTCCAGGAAACTGCTTTGGGGTTTTCGGAGAGCACACACAATCTCTCAGGACAAACAGAGTTCCTTTTAAAGGACAGGATTTCAAAGTGATTGGAAAGGGGGGATTTGTTCGGCTTCTGAATGAGGCGTTTCACATGGTCTCAAATTGGCTCGGGTGCAAGTAACAGCCCGCGGGCCAGGAAAAGGCTGAAGGCCTGTAAACAAAGGAGAATGACAGCTGACAAGGCAGGAGCCGAGGGAGGGGCGGGTGGGAGCCTGCCAGCGAAGAAACCAGCTTGGTTTGAGCTGATTTCACATCTTCATTAGTATAATGCAAGGAGGAATAAACAGTCAGGATAATGAAATTCATGGACTGCACCAGAGGAGGAGAAGCTGGGAAGACCTGAACAAGGAGAGAGACAAGGAACCCCACAGAAAGGAGAAGATGGCAAAGTGGATCCAAGGGGCAGGCGAGGGAAGGCGCGAGACCGCCTAGGAGAATTTCTTTCAGCCAGAGACTCCATCGGCTTAGGCTCCTTTTCGCTTCTGAAGCCATAAAGGATCTGGGATTTGGGTCCTGAAAGAACGGGGTCTTCCCACCTGAGCCTCCCTTCCTGCACATCCAGGCCATTTGCAGGGTGTCCTCCCCCCCTCCCACCCCTCCTGTCACCTCCCAGATGTCATCAATGACTCCTTCGTTATTCGTGTCCTCTTTGAGTCCAGTCTGTACTGCATCGGGTGTGCAATTCAACTTCCCGGTTGTAACGGCTGTGCCGAGGTATTTTCCTTATGTATTTTATGCCTGACTGCTCTTTTCATGCATTCTTTTCCATTCCGGCTTCTACAGAGAGAGGTCTGAGGGAGTTTTAGCTGTCTCGGGAAGCCCCTTCACAGTGGGTGAAGCGGGGCACAAAGGCCACAGAGGAAACCCAATAATTATCTCCCTGCAACTCAGTGAGGTTTTGTGCATTTTGTTGGAGAGAGACTGGGCTGCTTGCACTGTCAGTCCTCCATGCACTTTTCAGAGGCAGGAAGACTGAAGCGCTACGGGCTGCCTTGTGTGGCTGCAGGGCTACCACGGCTGGCGACCGGGGCATGGGGGAGACCTGCTCAGCAGCAGACACCGGCATGAAACCGGTACCTTCTTCCTTTTAACCGGGTTCTGCCTCGGCCCTCACCTGCGCAGGTACATCTTCCAGGGCTCGGAGAGTTTCTCTTGGACAAGAGCCTTCACCGTCTTGCCCAGGTACTGCGCTGCATCTGCTCCGGCCCCCGGCTGGCTGGCGTCGCCTTCTATCTTCAAGCCGAGAAGGTTGCCCAGGTTGGGATTACTCTGAGACATCTATGGGGAAGAAATGGATTTTGTGTATGAGCACAGAAAAGCAAAACCCTTTAAAAAAAAAAGTTGAATCTATTCCAAAACAAAGTTGAGGAGTATTTCAGTGACGTTCAAGAGAGGGATGAAGGAGATACACACAGAAGAGCAAGAAGCTTAATGGAGTGCCAGAGAACCAGGGAAGAAAGTCCTTCCAAGAAATTGCTGGCTTGTGTGGCTGATCATTTTTGCCTACAAGAAGTGGAGGAAGAAATCGGAGGAGGAGCTATCGTTAACTTGATCCTAACCAACAGTTGACTTGGTGGGAAAAATGGCAGTAAGAGGGACTCTGAGGGAAAGTGACCACGTCCTACTTGAGTTCTTGATTTCAAAGGAAACAAAAGCAGAGTATAGCTGCACATAGACGTCGGGGCTTAGGAAAGCCATTTTAATAACCTCAAACACTGATAGGTAAGGTCCCATGGCAGGAGATCTTAACAAGAAAGGGAGTTCAAGATAAAGCAAATATATGTAGGCAGTGGAAGGAAGGGTGGGCTAGAAAGGAAGTGGCAAAGAATGGCAGGGATGTAGCTTTAGGAAGGCAAAAGCCAGAAATGAGCTGAGGTTAGCAAGAGATGCTAAAAGCAACAAAAAAGCATTCTTCAGGTATGTGCATAGCAAAAGGCAGGGGGGAAAACCCCAGTTCTGAATGCCACACTTCAAGAAGCATGCTGACAAACTGGAGCAAGTCTGGAGGAGGGCAACAAGGATGATCGGGGGTGGGGGGCTGGAAAGAAAGCCCTAGGAGGAAAAACTGAAAGAATTGGACAGGTTTAGCCTTGAGAAAAGAAGATGGAGGGGAGCTAGGAGAGACTTGAAAGGCTGTCCTACAGAGGAGGGGCAGGATCCGTTCTCGATCATCCCAGAGTGCAGGACGTGCAACAATGGGCTCAAGTTGCAGGAAGCCAGATTTCGGATGAATGTCAGGGAAAAACATCCTAACTGTTAGGGAAGGACAACAATGGAACCAATAACCTTCGGATATGGCAAGAGCTTCAACCCTGGAGGCATTTGAGGGAAAGCTGGACAACCCTCTGTCGGATTTACATTGATTTGTGTTATAACTCCATGATTTTATGAAAATCTGGTGGGCGATGAAAATCAAAAAAAGCTTGGGACGAGTTGGACCTAGGAATGGAGATGTGGAAAGGCATGGGTGAGGGCCTCAAAGTCACACTGACCTTTCTAGGGGGTTCTGTGCCCTGAGTGGGAAAAGCGGATGATGCCCTGAAAACTCATCATGCAAGAAGCGGATACCGAAGGCTGGCTTTGAGGACGGCCAGACTGTGAAGACAGTCCACGGTGGGGGCCCAATCCCTCTGGCTAGAGCAGCGTTTCCCATATAAAGGCAAATGTCTATGCATGCCCTTTGGGTGCATAATTTAAAAATAAAAGATTAAACGAAAGAGTTCCACACTTTTAAAAACTTAATAAATATTTCAGTGCCCTACCTATGCAAAAAGCATGGAACCAGCTCAAAATTTTGGTCAATTTTTTTTTCTCCCTCCTCCTCCTCCTCTGTTATAACCGAGAAAAAAACCCAAAAACATTTCTCGGGATGGCAGTGTAATATTAAGGCAAATAAATAAAATTAATAACAACATGAGAAAGGAGAGCTTGCCTGACTTGGAAATGAAAAACAACAACAGACTCTTTTTGAGGCTTCTTCCTTCCGAAGGGCTAGGTGGGATGGGGGGGGGGAAGAGGGGGTCAGAGGCTGCAATATATTTCTTCAGCCAGTTCATTAAATTAATTCGTAAGCAGTGGCTCTGAAATTATACCCGATGAAAAATGGTCTCAAAATTTAAATGGTACAAACTCATCTTATTAGAGGGAAAACATTAAAAAACAAACGCATCTCTCCCCCCCCCCCGGTCCCTCCCCACCTCGCCAGCGTGGCTTTAATTTCTCTTGGTGGGGGGGAATGAAAGGCCCTTGATGGATGGCTCTTACCTTATTCATAAGCGAGGATAAAAGAGATGTATTTGCCGAGACTGTGTGGCCATTTGATTCATTACTGGAATACACAAACCAACAGGGTTTAGTTAAGATGTGCAGAAGGGGGAGATGGCAATTAATTCTCCTTTCAGACTGCCCCCCTCCCTGTACATTCCACCTGATGCATCAGAAGGAGGGGAGCAAAGCCCCCTGTCGTGCCAGCCAGGTCCGGCTTGCTGGGCTGTCCAGAGATGCCGTCTGCAAGGGCCTCCTGCTGGCCCCGGTTCCTACCCCCCCCTGCAAATCAGTCTCTCTCTCTCTCTCCCTCTCCCCCCACCCACTCATTGCTCACACCTGGCTGTGCCACCCCTGTTCTCAGAAAGGCCCGAGGGAGCGTAGATGCCCCAGGAAAGCTTGTGAAGGCTGGAGGGGCCCCTGCCCAACTGAAGGCAAGCTGCCCTTCCAGCAAGACCCCCCCTCAGCCCAAAGCAGGTACAGATCCACCTGTGCAGGGCGGTGTTTGGGGGCCTGAAAGCCCGGCTGGACCCGGTTTCTAGCTTAGGAAAAGGTGAACGACCTCATGGAGCAAAACTGCTTTCTTCAAAGATACCCGAGCCTTGTACAGAAAAAATGGGGGGGGTCATGCTGACACGGATTGGTGGGTGGATGGCCTGCATTTATGTGCTGCCTTTCTACCGACCGACCGACTGACTGACCGACCGACCGTGGGACTCGTCTTAAGCTGGATGGTCGAAGGCGGAGACTCTGGAAGGACCTCGGCCTCTCTGCTCTCTACCACAGTTCAGCCCATTCCTGTGGGGCTCCCGTGGGTCTGAACCTGGCCCTACCGTGTAGGGCTGGCCTTCCCCCGAGGTCGCTGGATTGCAACCCTACCCAGGACGGCCAACGGAGAGGATGATGGGGAGTGAGAGGCCCCCTTGCCCGGCTTTCTCCTTCCGCCGTACCTGGGCTCCTTCACCCTCAGGTCCAGGCTGCGCTCCTGCAGGGACTCCGGGGTCCCGGGGCCCGGATTCTCGCCGGCTTCTGGCTTCATCAGAGTCGGGTTATTAAAGCGTCCAGGAGTGGGCTGACCATTCCCTACATGGGGGAACAACAACGGGGAAAAGAAAACACCACCATGTTTTGAATAAGTGAGCAAAGTCAACCTTAAGCGGTGAAAAGCCCACAATGGCCGAGAAAGTTTGGGGAGGAGGGGGAGACACCGACCACCACGATCCAGATGGAGGAGAAAGGGAAACGGTCCGGGTTTGCTGGTCAGCATTTATTGCCAGCTTGACGTGATGGATTCTGACGTCCACCCCAGCGTGGAAATTCTTCAAGTGATAATTATTGCAAAATTATGTCAAAGTTGTCCCGGCGACGGGCCCTTTAAAGGAGAAGGGCGGAAGGCGCGAGGGGGGGAAGAGCTGATGCTCTGCGCAAACTGTCATAACTAATTTGCGGGGCTGCCTCTTAAGCGTTTATTAAAGACTCTGTTAATGCTGAGGCAATGTGGCAGCTTGAGACTGCTAGTCAAGCCCCCTTCCCGTTCCCCAATCCCGACGTTGCCTTGGCGACCGCTCCGGCCTTCTCACTGAGCATGCCCAAAAGGAACATCTGCTGTGTCAGGGCTATCGGAACTGACAGCCAATCAGATGGGTTCAAACCGCGCGACCTCTCCCCCCCATCGCGCCCTCCGAAAACATAGGGTGCCCCCCACCCTCTTCATCTTCTGGGGTCCTTGCCCCCCCAAAGGCATCTCTTCTTTTTAAGGACAGAGACCTAATTTTTTTTTTTAAAAAATTTTTTTGTTTCATCCAAAAAATGTTTTTTTTTAAAAAAAGGGGCGAGAGGGAAACGCCCCACAAAGTTAAGAAAACAACAGGAATGAAATGCACACACACACACCCCGAGAGGAGAGGATGAAACGATGGCAAGAGAAAAAAGTTGCTGACAGGAACACGTCCGCCGAGCTTTCATCCATAATCCCCAAGTGACTAAAATATTAATTTACCCGGAGGCACTACAGCTGATGGTGAAGCGCTCTACAGACAGCAAGTGGCATTTTATGAAAAAATAAAGGAAAAAATAGACCCCTCAATGACCTCTCTTTTTTGTCTCGCTCACAGATGATTCTGCCACCCCCCTAAAAAAGATAAGAGTAAACCCCTGAAAACGTTTGCAGTGGTTCTCCCCTCGCCTCTGCCGAGCCCTTTGCCCTTCGGTGGGACTTGGAAGGAGGGAAGGCCGTCCATGTGGAGTTCTTCCGGGCAGCCATGAATGACGAAGGCAACTGGAGGGGGCGAGAGATCGGCCCGATCCGCTCCTCTCTGCCTGGTGCCCAATCCCTCTCTAGCCAAGGGTGAGCCGTCTAAAGCGGCCGGTAATCAATGAGATGACTCATGGAGGATTGCGCGGACAAGAACGCTGGAGGAAGACCAACAACACCCCACGAGTGAAATTCTGTTCCCTCCAGGAGGACGTTCGCAATGGAAAGAGAGCTCGGTGGAAAGGCTGGGAGGCCTCATCAGTGTGGGCCAGCGATGCGGTCGACTGAGCTGCTCCGCTCAGCATTCAGAATAAAAATGGCAAGGGGAAAACCACCCTGAGCTTCAGCCTGGCAGCTACGCCGGTCTCCTCCGAGCCATCGCCCTCTGCTTGCTAGGGGGTGAGGAAAGCCGTCAGAAACTCCACACGGGTCTTATAGCAGGAACAGCTTTAATATGTTCCGACTAAGTGATCAGACTCTGGAAATCCTCCTCCTCCTTGATTCTTGTGGTGGATAAAGGAGAACGGCCCACTTTTTCCATCTAGCTGGGTCAATGTGTCCCATGGAGATTCCGGGGGAACCTCTCCTACCTACCCCAGGAGTGACGGGAGAAAGGGAAACCAGGGAGCCCTCGGGCGCTGCTCACCAGAAGAAAGAAGCAACCCTCACTCAGTCTTCCTTGTTGAGGCTCGTGGCCTCTCCAGAAGAACTTAATCACAGCCTCTGCAGCGCAGCTTTGTGGGTTTTCCCTATACGACCAAACTCGTCATTTCACCACCTGCAAACGGTCGTCCGTCAGCACCTTCTAAAGGGCTAAAGAAAATCCCCTGGTACTGACGGACGGGCTAGCAGACTGACTCTGGGCAGTAGGGTTGCAAGATCACCTGCACGATTGCCCTAATGGGAATAGCTTGTTCGTGCGGTCAGCTTAAGACTTGGATTTCGGTCTCTCAAGATGGGTTGAAAACGGCTGGGGTGGCTCCCCTGTTCAGCTCTAGCCTCCTCTCAGGACAGGTTTGTGTTCCCGTCTCTCTCTCTCTCTCTCTCTCTCTCTCGTTCTCTTCTCACCCATCCTTTACGGCCTAATTAAAGAAGGAGAACCTTGCAGCTGGTTTGAGAGGCTGGGAGGGAAGACAACCGTGGGTTGGGAAGGACTCGGTGTGCGTGCGTGTTTCAAAACCAAACCTGCTTTCTATCTGGCTTGTTGATCTGGACGGCCAGTAAAAGAACAAAGAGTCCTTTCCCCCTCCCTGTTTCCCTGAAATTCCCAAAATCCAAAATAGGTTCTGGTTTTTCTCCCGTCCAACCACATTCCAAACAGAAGCCTTCAGCCGCCACGAGCTGGATCCAGGTTTGGGTTTCTTGGAAAACTAGACTAGAGAAAAGGGACACCCCCCCCACGCAGCCCCCTCCCCTCCCCTAAAAATGCTAAGCTCTGGATCTGAAGGTTCTACTTGGATGGGGGAAGCTGGGGGGCTCAGCAGGAATCGCCCTCCCCCCAAAACAACCTGGGCCCAGCGCCTTCTGTCCATGGAAGGGAGAACCTCAGCCCCACCCGCTGTGTTTCGTTCCTCTGCTTCTCCAATACAATCAAGCATTTCCTCGAGCCGGGCCTCCCGTCCTTCCCTGTGCTTTCAACTTCCAGATCCCAATGGGACCAAGACCCTTCCAGTCCAGGCACCCCAAGACCAGGAGGAGAGCGGAGGACCTCACCTGCTTCCACAGCCACGGAGGGCTTAAGTGCTGCTGCTGCCAACCTGGCCATCATAGGGGAAATCAAGCCTTTGCTGGCCGAGATCCGTTCCATGATGGACGCCGCTGGAGTCGGAGAAGACGTGGTGGCCCCTGCCTCACCGGGACCGGAGACGGCCGGGGAAGGGGAGCTGGCAGAGGGCACTGGGTTGGTGCTGGAAGCATTGGCGGCGATCAAGCTGGTGGAGCTGGCCGGGAGCGGGGTGGAGACCCGGTTGGGGAGGATGGGGAAGTAAGAGCCGGCCGCTCCGGGAAGTGCTGCGTTGGAGAGGGCCAGGGCCAAGGGGATATTGCTCGGGAGCGCCTGGGAGAGCAGGCCGGGGATTTTGGAAGCTGGCGGCATGCCGTGGACGGGCTTGCTGGGGGCCTGCGAGGGGGCGAGCTCCACCGCCGCCGAGGAGGGGGCCGCCCCGGGGACGATCAAGGAGGCGGAAGACTGCTGACTGGTCGGGGAGGCACTCAGGCTGGAGTTCTTGGAGCTTATGGCCGAGAAGTCGATGAGGTCGTCGTTGCTGGACTCCTCCTGGTCATTCTCCTTGGCCCCCAGGAGCGACGGGCCCCCCAGGCCCAGGACGCCCGAGCTGCGGATGTGCCGGCGCTCGTGCTTGCGCTTGTGGGAGGTCATCTGGCTGGTGGAGGTGAAGGTGAAGCCGCATCCGGGCCGGATGCAGTGGAAGTGATTGGTGGCCTTGCTGTAGACACACCCCTCATACTTGCACTCCTCGTACTTGTAGAACTTCTTGAAGCCGTCCTTGGCGTAGGCGTCGTCCTTGATGTGGTAGCTCTTGTGCTTCTCGATGTCGCACTTGTTCTTGAAGGTGAAGGTGCAGCCGGGCCGCCTGCGGGAGAGAGAGGGGAGAAAGGGGCCATCAGGCCAAGAACTGGGGCTGGGGTCCCCCACCTCCAGTCCCAGCCGAGGGGAACGGGGAGCAGCGATCCAAGACACGCAACGACCCAGCGCGCCCCCACAGCCTCCCCGGGGGGGGGACAGCGAGATCCGCTCCATCGCTCCTTAGCCATCTGAGATGGACCGTGGGTCTCCATCGCTCCGTATTCCCTGCGTCCGCCTTGCCCTTCCAGGTTTCTCCTACAGCCACCCAGCGTAGATGACACGCAGGGCGGTTCCACCTTGAATGACGGTGGCCCTCTGGCTTTTCAGACAGGGGAGTTCCCCAGTTCTCCCGGGAACGTAACAGGAATCGGTCTCCTCTAGGAATACATTCCCGTCTGACCATTCTCAGAGGAGAAAGTGCAGTCTAGGGGAAATCCTGGGTTAAGTCACATGTCCTCTCTGCTGCATGCAGGCCAGAGAATCAATTGATAAAGATGACAACTGTGAACTTGCCGAGTTCTCAGTGGACTCAAGTCCACCCAGTTAGCTGTGGGTGATCCAGCGGCTGTGCGTGGATTGAAAAAGGGCAAATGTTTGTCTGAAATCCCAGTGGCTTTGAACATGGTTTTCACTTTCTATGTCCTCCCCAGCCCCTGCTGGGGGATCGTAAGGTGAACTCTGCGAACGGAGGGACCTGCCTGATCCTGGCTCTTTTGGTTTGGCTTGGAGCTCACCTGCAATGGAAGTGAGTGGTCTTCTGCCCGTAGAACTGGCAGTCCACAGTGCCGCAGTCTTCGGTGGCCCGGAACCGCTGGAACCCATCGTTGATGAGTTGCGTGTTCTTCTTGTGGAAGTTTTCATGGGTCATTACGTCGGAAGTGCTTGTATAGACTTTGTTACAGCCCACCTGATGGAAAAGATGTGGGGGGGGGAGTAAACGGGAGAAAGAGTGACATCAGCTGACCCGAGAGGAGAAGGGAGGAATCACTTGGACTGTGATGCGTCGGGAACAATGCTACCACCTGAAATTCCACTACCCGGCAAAGGGATCTGCTTTGGGTCTAGAAGGTGAGGGGCGAGGGACCTCTGGGCCCCAACTCTCTTTGCCTTTATAGCTCCCATCAGCGCCACCCAGCAGGGGGGGACAGCAAGGGATTATGGGAGTTGTAGTCCAGCAACATGAGGAGAGCCCAAGGTTCCCCACCGTGACAGAGACAGAAACGCAGGAAGGAGGACCAGGAAGCTGACTTTTTGCAGGCGACATAGTTTGTCCATTGAGCATTCAGACTGACAGCTGCTCTCCAGGGTCCTAAGCAGAGGAAGCCGTTCCCATCACCAGCGGCTCAAGAGCTTTGTGAATTGGAAATGCGGGCAATTGAACCCAAGACCTTCTGCGTTCAAAGGTGACAGCTCCTCACAGAACTATAGCTCTTTCCCCCAAAGTGCAAAAACATCTGATACAAATTCTGTGCAGAAACGAGAAGGGACAGATCTAAAAATATGGATCCTTTGCTCAAAGGAGAGATGTTGACAGGCCAGGCCATGAACCATGGGATCTGTCCGATCCCTCGTGATCGACGGGACCGAAGCGGGTAGCCCAGCTGGGTAACCCACACAAGCCACGGACAGAATGGAAGGTCTGAACAGGGACTGGTGCCATTTGAAGGGTCCTGTGGAACAGGGGAAGGTCGTAGAGAAGTTCTCACCTCGCCTGGTTCCTCCTGCTCGGGGGCCACAGGCATTGGGGCCACCTGAACAAATAGGTTGGGGAAACAAATGCCCACTTCCCCGCCTCCATGTCATCACTTGCTTTATTTTAAGCCTGTACTCCTATGGCGTGACGGAGGTGGAATGCTGAAGACCTGCCTCCCCTCCCAGCTCCCCGTCACTGTTCCCGGGCAAAGTGAGCGAATTTGCCATATTGAGTAAAATTCCAGTGGAAATCTGACAACGCCGTCATGCCCGCCGGGAGCGCTTCTTGCCTTCCCACCTCCTCCTGCGCATCGTGTGCCAATGCCTGCACCATCTCAGAAGTGAAGCAAACTAAAACATCGCTCCCACGCCCCTCTGCTCCCCACCTCCTCCGCTCCCCGTTCAACTTGGGCTGATTCAGAGAGGCCAGATCAAAACATCTGACAAACACCCAGAAATGGGGAGAAGGGGTGGGGTGGGGACGAAAAGCGGCAGGGAGGGATCTGAAGCTTTTTCCCAATAGAACAAGGGCCTCTTCCCGCCCTGACACCTTGACAGAAGACAGGCCCTGTGCGGTGTTAAAAGAAAAAAAAATTTAAACAAAAACTCCCTGTGAATAATTTGCAACCGGGCTCTTTGTGTTAAAGCAGAAAAATGTCCATTTATATAAACAACTAACTGAATTTTGTCCATGCCAATTATGGACATTGGGGGGGCGGTTTGAGGGCTCTCACGAGGCCGGTGGCACAAATAGTGCCGTTTAAGAGATATTTGTTCTCATTGGGAATCCGGGAGGCTCTGACCCCTTTCTTCTTAACATGGGCATTGGCTTTGGAAACATTTCTCAAAGTTTCTTTGCCTTTGGAAGGAGCTTTCCCCCTTGCCAGTGCACCTGTCACGACACAGAGGACCCTGTTTGACTGATGTGCCCAAGTTGACGTGGGATATTGGCCTGTGGGCTTTTTTTGGGGGGGGGTGCTCCTTGTCTTCCGTTGCACCTGCTGAGAGCAAACCACGGAACAGATCCAATGTTGGCCTAAGACTGTGAACTGCTGGGGGGGGGATTGATGGCCTTGAGGGCCAGAAGAGAAGCTCGCCTGCCACCACCAAGCTTCTTTGTGAGGGACCCTAGAAGGTTCCACAGGTATCCATCCAAGCTTTGGGAAAAACACATGTTCTGCTGAAAATGGGAGGATAAAGGAAGTCAGCCTGTCCTCCCACCGAGAGATCTAAGCCATTCAAGGGAGATTGGAGAGGAAGAGTCTTCCCAGAAGTCATCAACAGATGCAAATGGCAGTCTTGTGGCATCCGGCAGTCCCCCTCCATACCAAGGACTCAGCTCCTTGGCTACAGCAGCCTTCAGAGCAACAGCCCGGCTAACGGACCGCATTCCTGATAGCCTTTGCCCAAAGAAAACCAGCCTAGCCTCTCGGGCATTTCAAGAGCCCCCTCCTAAATGATTGGCTATTGGAATTTCCCACTGGATAATCCTCATAATCTTAGGTGGGGGGGGGGCGGCAGAAGGAAGGGGGGCAGAGAGCCTCTTTCTTTCTTTCTTTCTTTCTTTCTTTCTTTCTTTCTTTCATTCTTTTGATACTGGGCTGCTATCAATATTTCACAAAGGGACAAACCTGAAGCTAAAGGGCAGCCGATGCGTCGGGAGGTGATCCTCTGTTGTCTGTCAACTGAAAGCCGGGCAGTTCTCACAGCCTGGCTTGAGGAAGGGGCACCCTGGAGAGAGGGGGCCAGAGGTGGGCCCTTCTGGATCTCCCCCAAAGGAGCTGCCCAGAGGAGTCGCGGTGCGTGTTGACGCTGTGGGCTGGGTGGAGTGGGGTGGGGATGAAAGGAGAAACAACAGCTCTCCCTTCCAGATCATGCTCCATTGTCTACACCTAGGAAGAGGTCTGGGTCTGTTCTGTGTTGCTTACCAAGGAGCAGGGAAGACCTACATGCTTGGTGTTGAATTTCTTAAAGGTCTCAGCTCAAGAGAAAGGAACATTTCACTCCAAAAGGCACGAGCCATTGACAAATCCCAGCTTCGTTTCATTCCTGCCTGAGTGGATGTTCTGTCCTTGGTGCTCATCCCAAAGACGGCCCCTTTGGGGTCCTTGCCCCTCCATGTGCCTCTGGTATCTACCGGCTCTTGCTGCATGAGCATCCTCTCACAACCTCAATGCTTGCATCCCGTTATAATTTCTCCCCACATGTCTACTCTGCAGGGCTGTGCTGAAGATGCTGAGACCTGAACATTCTTCAAGATGGCCTTTCCTTCCTGAAGCTCCCCTCCTGTCCTTACTTTGCCCCTTCCTCGGCTAGCTGCAGGCCATGCAACTCCTCGCAGGTCAAGGTGGCTCCACTGAAGTGTCTCCAAGCCCCCCCACCCCCCACTTCGGCCAGCCATGGGCAAGGGGGCAAGCCGCTCAGCACCATTACCTGCATGCAGTGGTAGTGTGTGCTTTTCCCGTTCAGGTGGCAGCCGTGATAGTAAACGCTGCAGTCGTCCAGAGGGCTGAAACGCATGAAGCCATGCTGAAGGGAATTGTCGCGCTTCTTGTGCATGTTGTAATGCCGGATCACATCTTGCTTACTTGTGAATCTCTGGTGGGGAGAGGGAGAATGAAAGGATGAGGGGTGCGAGCAGCGGGCAGGACGGGGCACTGTCTGGCCTCAGCAACCCAACCGTTGCTGAGCTATTTAAGGAAGCCATAAAGGTCTGCTAACAAGCACGGCTGCTGTTCCTGAGCAACTGAACGAGGGTGGCGGCTGGAGCAAAAGAGAGCAGCTTTTAAGCCAGGCTTAAGATCTAGCCAAGGTAAGGCTTGCTCTGACATTTCCAAAATGGTAAATGGAAGAACAGATCCGTTATCAGTGGACTTGTAAGAGAGGGGAATCACCGTTCTTGGCTGTGCCTGCAAGAAGACCTGTGCCTTCAGACAACCTGTTTGGGTGCAGAGAAGAGGGGGTTCTGCCCAACACACAAAACACCTCTGACTTCTTTTCCTTCCAGATAAAAGAGACACCCTGGCCTCTTCCTCTTCCTTGGGGATTTACACAGGAGGGCCAAAACAGACCCACAGGTGGATTTCCCTAAGATATTGCTACCATAGGAATACCTGTTGCCCGCCTCCAGTCATTTGCAAATGCTTTTTAGGGGATGCGCACCTGCACACACACACATGCCACACACACACACACACAGAGGCCACACCCTATGTCAGCGTTTATAAAAATCAGCCTGAATCTTTCCACCTCTTGGGATCAGGCCCTCCCCTTGCCGGTCGGACCACTCACGGAGGCCTGTGGTGAGAGGTCTGTCCTCTGTTTTGCAAGACCCCTGCCTGGCAATGAGCTGCCTCACCAGAGTGGTGCCTCCCCACGGGTGCCAAAGGGTCATCGCCCACTGCCCTGATCCGATGGAGAGAAACCCGCAGCCTGCCAGGTCTGGCAGTGCTGAACCCGCTTTCTCTGCTGCTCCTGCAGCCTCCCGGCGTTGGCAGGTGCTGGAGCCGCCGCCGTTCCTAGGATTCCCCACGTCTCCTCCAAGGCTCCGAGGCCCAAACCACAAGAACAGCCGGAGAGTCACACTTTCCCGGACTTGAGCGCAGGGTAAACAAACACAGCATGTGACCGGGAACTGGCTTGACCATCCTGCTCTGGCAGCTCTCCCGGCAACTGCAAACTGGCCTGCGCTCCTTGCGCCTGCCTTGGCACGGCCGTCCTCCTTCACGTGCCCCCCCCTCGCCAGCACCCACCTGCTCGCTTGCTCGCTCCCAAGCCATGCTGCAAGGCTGGCTTCTCTTCCTGGGTGCTTGTCCAGCGAACATCCCTCAGCTAGTTAGGCTGAAGAGGATTAGGATCAGCATGTATGTGGGCGGGGGGACAGGGGCCTTTCAAATGGCAGCCCCTGGCTTAAGGTTTCCAGTTCTCTGTGCCCTCGTGGGAAGCAGATTCTCCCTGCGTGTAGGGCGAGATTGCCCTCACCCCAGTGGGGTGCTAGCCTGCAGAGTGGTGCTAAGGCAAAGGCCTCACAATACTCTCTTTCTCTCTCAGACACACGTACACAGAGAAAGATCTGTTGCAATCCCCGCACAGCACATGAAGACCACAGGCCAATTCATACGACTGGTTATCGGGGGTCAGAGGCACGACTGCCATCCCATGCAGGAGGAGTGTCCCTGTATTTTCCACACCTTGCAGACGACTGCCCTGAGCCTGCCCGAAAGCCTTAGCAAGAGGCCCTTCGAGAGGAGGGTGCGTCACAGAACAAGCGCCTCTCAAAATCATCTTCATTTTTTGCAGCAGGTGGAGTCACAAGCGGGGTGTGTGTGCTTGTGTGTTGCCAGACATGGACTGTCTAACGGTTGGCCCATCAAAGTCCTGCACGGTTTACTTTGACGGACAAATGTTCTCCAGAGTAGGGGTGGATTTCACAGCTGCTACTCTCACATGTAAGAAGATGACCATAAAAAGGCTCCCCCCTCAGTTGGGTGAGTTTAAGAGAGTTTTCATGTCCTTTCAGCATTTTCAGAATTTATTATTATTATTATTTGTAAAATTCACGAAAATTCGCTTTTGTGCAAAACTTTGCATTTTGTACAAAAGCTTTAAGTTTGCACACAAACAGTACAAGGTATTTTTGCACAACACACAAGGCTGTCTTCCAAAACAACAACCACAACAACCACCACCCTGTTTGTTTGTTCCCCTAATGTCGACAGTGATTTTTTTTTAAAAAGAGCTGATCTTTTTACGCTTCGGAAAAGACCAAACCCTATTCCTGGGATGAGAAACCTTAGCTTCTAGTAAGCTAGAACTGACTCTGTCCAAGACCCTCACTTCAGGGTCTTGGACAGAAAAAGAAAGAACCTCTTCCTGCTGTTCTTTTAACCGGATTAAATTTTCAGGATATACTTAACAGACAGGCCGAGATGGGCAGAGGTCCCTTCCCAGAATCTGCCACTCTCCACCAAGGCCCACCCGGCCAGGGCTTGACCATTGGCTTCAAGGTTTTCCCCATCTCGTTACTGGCAGGAAATTTAAACTGAAAGTGCATGACCCGTAGGCCAAGTACGGATGTATTCTATGAGTTATTGCCCTGCTTGGAACATTTCCATGTTTTGACCATGGTCCCCGGAATGGGCAGTGGCTGTACTTGCTGGGCGATTTGGGGTCTTATCATCCCACGCCACCCCCAAAGAGGAAGCCAATTCCAGCTTGGGTGAGTGGGTGGGTCTCTATGCCATTACCAAGCCAGACAACCCGTTCACTTTAACTCTTGGCGGCCTCCCCTTCTTGGGCATGGCTCTTCTGAGTATCAGACTGTGCCGGGTTGTTTTAGACCCTTTTAGCAAGAGATTCGGGGGGGACGGATGACCCGCCCTGCCCTCCCCACGTGTTTCTTTTTTGTATGGCTCATTTTTTTTACCTGATAGTTACACTCCGGATCAAGGCAGTGATAATGCTCGCGGTACTGGTACGCACAGTGTATGTGACCGCAGTGCTGGCTTCCAGAAAACCTGAAAAAGAGATGGAGAAAGAAAGAGAAACTGTGAAGGAAAGGAGGCATGTCGGTGCAAAGGTCTTTCCCCCAGCCCCTGTTTTCCCAATTAGACATACGTTTGTTTCAAGCCAGGCTCAGGTGCCTTCGTGCAGAGCATGGAAAAGTTACTTTGTTGGACTTCTAAATCCCCAAAGACTCTGTTCATAAACTAAGACTAGCTATCCTAAATTCCACACTAAGGGCAGAGTTGGTAAATTCCACATGGCTTCCTGTACAAAAAAAGCCCTACTGGAAGCTAGGGTTATTTGGCATGTTATTTTTAAAAAACTAGATTCTTCAAAGCCTACACATTCTCTAAGGAAACATTGCAGAGACCGACGCACAAACTGAAACACAACTCCACGTCAGCACGTGCTCTTTCCTGAATTTTGTCGTTTTCCAGTTAAAATGGGCACAGTGATGTGCACAGTAAGAGAACGTCCTCAAAGCTGGTGACAACAACACTTCCAAGGCCTTCTGCCAGGGGAGACCCCTTGTCCACATGGGCATCTTGGGCGGACACAGACAGGTTGGTTTGGAAAAGGCTAGAATGGCTAGAAAAGTTTGTGCAGACTAAAGGAAATTTTAGAAGCGGATGCGGCATGGGACGAAACATACGTAGGGTTGGAAAAATAAGTAACAAAGCAGCCCAGCAGATTTTACCAGTGCTGAGGACAGGGGCAAAAGAGACTCAGATGAGACAGAGGCGAGACGACGAAAAAGGATCTTGACTCACTGCAGTCCACCAGCCACCCCTGGAAGGGCAGAAGGTACAACCAGGATACAGCTGAGCTTGGAAAAGCCAGCCATCAGGCGCATGATTTTCAAGGAGCATATTGCTTCATAATTCTGAAGTGATGGAAGACATTTGAAAAGGGACTCTGAGGGGGAAACATTCAGAACCAAAGTACCATCTGCTTCAAGGCTCCAAATGCCAGGCAATGCCGCTGCCTACCTTCCCAGAGCCCTGTGGGAGATGGCATCAAAGCAGAACCATAAAGGTAAGGTGGAAGTGAGAGTTTGGGCCTAAAGAAGGGGCGCAGGAGAGACAGTGGGAAGCACCCAAGGAAGAGGAGGTCCACGGCACCGACCGCCAGGTCTCCAGGAGATGGAAAGGGTGTGTGTGTGTGTGTGTGTGTGTGTGTGTGTGTGTGTGTGTGTGTGTGTGTGTGTGTCACAGACAGAGGAGATAGGCATTGCTAAAAAATTTAACTGCCTCTTTGTCTCGCATTCACCATGAGAGCAGATGTCACCAGAAGGCATGCCCCTCTCCCAGGGGAGGGAATGGAAGAGGAAAAAGTGCTGCTGGAAATCAAGACTCCACCAGAGCAGGTGACTTAAGAAACCTGAGCTGCAGCAGCAGGAAAATAAATGCGTCTTGTGTATGTAGCAAACCAAAAAGTAAACCAGAAAAACCTCACCTTTGGAAGTAGGGTGAAATATTCCAATCAGGAACAAGAGAGTCTGGAGGGACACAGAAAGCCCACGGCCACCCTAACACCAAAAACCCAGTTTCGTTTTCATGGATGGAACTGGCTTTAAGCTGAGCTCCATCCAACCAGTCTTGGGGGAAAGGTGGCAAGGATGGTCTCAAACTCATTTTAAACCAAGGTTTAATCAGTGGCAATGTTTTGATTCCCTTTGGATCACATTGCTTTTGGAGGAAGAACAAAGAGATGTTCAACGTATGGGTTTATTTCTTCAGATTCCAACGGTCATTCGGTTGAAATCTCCTGCAGCCCTTGGCAGAAGAGCGGATCCCAAACCCTGACAGGATCTGCAGTCCAGCCATATCTGGAGACACACGCTTTTCACTCACCCCTGCTAGAAATGCAATAAAAGCTAGGAATGACCTTTGTATTCCTAGCTTCTCCATCTTGCTCCCATAGCTTGGTCGCTTTCCTGTCCTCCAGCATGTTCTCCTTCCAGCAAAATACAGAGCCTTTGCCTTACTCCGGAGGGATCCTAAGGGGACCACCCATTTTTCCTCTCGACTTGACATCGAGGCCTGCCGTGACTACTGTGTGGCGAGCATCTTTCCCCCTTTGCTCTGAGACCAGCCATGCTCTCACTACAGGTGTGAGGAGGACTCGGCTTCCAAGACAGGAAAGCAGCAAGAGAGTTAGCGCAAAAGGACACTAACACAGAACAAGGCCCAGGGCTAAGCGACTGAGCAAGGCGTGAAGAGAGAGACAGCGCTGGCCCCCAAATGCCTGTTGGTGGCACTAAACAATCCGGGGCAGAGATGCCCGCCCAGCGCACGGCACGAGAAAAGGTCCTTTCGCATACGCAACTGGCAGGATAGTCAGGCGACATTCTTCCTGGACAGAACAAGGGACAGCCCAGCCCGTTGGCTGGAGCAGAGAGGCTGGCAGGCCGGACAAGAGTGCCTCACCCCCTAATTTGGCAGCAAAGAACGGCCTGCCATTTCATGCCACAAAGGAAGGGGCCGCATCCATGGCAGCAGCGGCGGCGCTAGGAGGAGGCCTCAGGCCCCAAGGGAGGAGGGCAGCGGAACCTCCTCCGACCCACCCACCCCCTTCGTTAATAGGTTTCCAGAGGGTCTTCTCTCTCCCCCTCCTCCCCTTTTTCTCTCTGCTTTTCCTGACACTTGAAACAGTTCAAACTTATTAATTTTTAAAGGGCAGCATCTGTTTAGCTGCTCAAAACAACAAAGCTTACACACACCGCACACTTACCGACACGTGCGGGCAGGCACACCTGCTCATCTCGCACACCACTGCCCCCCTCCCTTAAAACCCCCGCCCTTCCTCATTTACAAGGATGCAAAATACCATCTCTTGGGTACTCCAAGGCACACCGGCAGCCAAGGCACACAATTAAATCCATTGTTCGGGATGGTTCGTGCCAACCACTTCCGAGTGTTTACGCTGCAAACTTTGGAAATGAGATTTTTTTTTTTTTTAAAAAGAATGACACCAAAACCCACCCTCTGCAGAGATCGGATGGGTGGTGAGGTTTAGGGTTTCCTTACAAGTGCAAACTGGCATAAACCTCTCTGGAGAGGCATGTGGGAGCGGAGGGACGGGCGCACGTGGCCAGCTGGGTTGCCCTGCCCGTGTGCTGTGCGCCCACCTTTGCCACCCGGAGCTAAAACTCCACAGCAATGGCACCGATTTGGAGGTGGAAGGTGTGTGTGTGTTGGGGTGTATGTGTGTGTGTGAGGGCAGAGGATCAACACAAGCACACAGCAGCAGCCGATTCCCTTCACAGTTCCTTCCTCGGGGGGGGGGCTTTTGCCTCGTTTTAAAAGAACGGGACCCATTAAGGGCAGGCAAAGGGCTGATGCTCGGCTGCAGCTTCCCTTCATTCTTCCCCACTTGTTACGCTGCCCAGGGATGATGGGACCTGCAGTCTAACCACATCCAGGTGGTTAATCCAAGAGTCAAACTTGAATCACCGGTATGGTAAGGGATGGGTTTGCTTTTGAAATCTTGACTGTCGGTTCCACCTCTCTCCCTAGCAAACTTTCGCCTAGGAGAGAGGAACCTCAAGCCAGCAAGGCGACACCAGGCCACAGAGGTTTCTCATCGAAGCCACTGGTTTTTTTTGGTGTTTTTTTTTGTTTTTTGAGCAAGGCCCTGTCTCTCAAATTCCCGTCCTCTACCAGCTGCACACCTGCACCCACACCCACCTGAGGGTCAACGTTCAGCAGGGTGATCCTTGGCTAGCATTCCTATGAAGGACACCCAGCTTCCTTTGGGTAACGCCAGCAGTGGACGGGCTGGCTGAGTCACTCGGCTGGCTGGAACTCCGGAGAGCCGCTGTAGGGTCAGACAAGGCAAGCGCCTCGCTGGGTATGAAGGCGCTTGCGATGTTCCTACCGACCAAGCCTCTCGAGATCTTGGGAGTCCTTCTGAGGGCTAAATCTCCCTAACCTGAGCCGAGGGCTGCCTCACCTATAGTGGGCTGGAGATGAACCCAGATTCTTTCCGCTGCAAGAGGTCCTCGGCTTCAGCTCAGAGAACCACACGGAGCAAAGACGCAGACTGACCTCGGCGTGAGGGGTATCAAAGGCCATAGAGACCCCGGATGGGGCTGGACCCAGCCACCACCTTAGGCCCTCAAAGGCTGAGCTGCCCAAGCAAAAGGCATTTGGGCGACAGCTCGTGGCTTTTATCTGGAAAGAAATGAGTTCTATTGATTTTTTAAAAAACTGTCTGCTCTCTCAGCCATTTGGGTCTCGCTATAAAAGCTGTTGTTGAACAATATTTAGAGAACTAGGATCTACATTATTAAATAAATAAAAATTAAAGGAAGAAAAACCACATGACTAGGCACAAGTCAATGGATTTATTTATAAATGTTTCCTACTCAAGAGTGACTGACAACCATTTGAAAATCAAGAATATTGATATATATTGATAATAAAGCAATTGAATTTTCTTTTTTAAAAAAAGAGAAAGATAAAATATGGTTATTCAAAATCCATGACTCACTAGCTTTTTCCTGCTGCAGCCAGAATAGAAATCCCCTCTTTGATCACAAAGGTCTCCTCAACGTGGCCAGTATATAGAGGGGCTTTTGACAGAGTGGATGAAGGCCACACTCCACAGTGCTCAGGGTGGACTAATTCCACTATTCTTGCTCTGTTATGGGTGTGCTTGGCTGTGTCTCTGATTTGTGGTTTCGGAAGCCGCTGCATGCAAATGAACTGTGCTTTGCAGCCCAAGTAACTGCCGTAGGTCACTGAGCTCTGCTTTGCAGCTTGCAAAATGCCTGCATGGCAGCAGTCTCTGCTTTGCTGCCTGGAAAGCAGGCACACAGAATTCAGCTGTGCTTTGCATGCCCAAATACCCTGACAGTGCTATTCTGGGAAGAACAAGCGACAAAACCCCCAAATGGGGTAATACTCAAGCACAGATGGGTGCGCCCAGGCCTCAAAGAGATGCCCTCTGCTACATCCCATTCTGGTGGCGAGGGCTGCTGCTGAGAGAGACTCCGATAAATAAATACTAATAAAAATAATAAACACAGAAGTCAGCATGCTTAGTGAGTGTTTACATACTCATCATTACTCTGTAATGATAATATGCGCAATGGCGAAAGAAAGACAAAAACAACCCAACAACCAACAACCCACTACCTCAATTACAAGGGATGGAGGAAGAGAGAAGAAAGGAATGGAAATAAGTATTGAAGCAAGATTTGCAGAAGATGCCTGTGCTGGGGCAATAATAATAATAATAATAATAATAATAATAATAATAATAATAATAATAATAATAATAATAATAATAATAATAATAATAAAGAGCAGAACCGAATACACCTCCAAGCTGAGAGAGATGCTAGACTTTGCTACGTATGCCTTCTGTGCCCCATGAACCAGACTCAATGACGGTCCATCTCAATGGCAGCCCATCAGGGAGTTGCCCCAATTGTGGTGCTTGTGGGAGAATATGTTGGCTGTTGGGATTATTCAGAGACAGGAAATACTACTTTCTGAACTGTAACTCTTATACTATCCCAATCAGTGTGGCCGCTGGACAGGCTGGTGGCTTCTGCTGTCCAAAAAAGTAGCTCTGGTTGAGTCCAAAAAATAATAACAACTCTTCCCAGAAGGCGTGACCCGTCTCCTGCCAGTCCTTCACAACTACCTCTCCCACACCCTGTGCTTCAGCGAACAGAAAAGAACTATTATAAAATAAAATAAAAAGTCACACTTCTTTATTCAAAATCATGCAACCTGTGGCCCTTGTCTTAATATCAAAAGCCCTGTTCCAATAATTAGTTCTGAATGCCTGTGGAGATAATTAATTTCCTAACGCTAGGAATCTGGGGGCCCCTCTCAGCCCAATCAGCAGCTGGAGGCTGGCTGGCAGCTGCCACACACAACACACACACACACACACACCAGTTACTCTCCTTAGGGACCAGACACCAAACCGCTTTGGTAATGATCCCTCGAGCTTCACTATGCTGGCAATGCCATCTCTCCATTGGGGAAAAATAAATCGTTGCTAATTTGCATGTACAAAGGCATTCTAACGTGTCCAGATAGGAGAAAGGTTGACCGACCATTCCAGGTGGAGAGACACACACACACACACACACCAGTTACTCTCCTTAGGGACCAGACACCAAACCGCTTTGGTAATGATCCCTCGAGCTTCACTATGCTGGCAATGCCATCTCTCCATTGGGGAAAAATAAATCGTTGCTAATTTGCATGTACAAAGGCATTCTAACGTGTCCAGATAGGAGAAAGGTTGACCGACCATTCCAGGTGGAGAGGCAAACAAAGCCTGGCAGGGCGCCTCCTCTCGGTCTCCCTTTCCCCCTCCCAGGGTGCTGAATCAAAGGACATGTCGAAGGCAGAGCCTTCCAGGCTGTCACAGGACACCTGTAGGAGAGCTCACAGGAACGTACACGGCTGTCTGATGAGCTGCCGACCAAAATCCTCTTGGATCTACACAGGGCCCATCAGAAAGAATGGAACGGGTGGGCCTCGGTGGTGCCGGCTATTGGTGGTGCTGGCCATCAGTTGCCAATTCGGTCACATGCCTGGGTGCTCAACGGATGGCAAGAAAATGGCAACCACCGCTTGCAGGATCCTCCTTGTGCAGGATCCTGGCAACCGGAGGCCAAAGCCTCCTACCCAGGAAGCAATCTTATACCTACTCAGACGACTGGCCCATCTATCCAGTTCTGTCTGCTCTGACTGGCAGCAGCTCTTGAGGGTACCAGATAGAAACGCGGGGGATTGAAACTTGGACGCTCTGTGGACACAGCGGGTGCCCTAATGCAGAGTGGTCCTGCCAGGTCTCTGTCTAGTCTAGTCCTGCCTGCTCTGGCCGGCAGCACCCCTCCAGGGTCTGGCTCAGAGAGGGGTCCCCCAACCTCAAGGGGAGTTGCCAGAGGGGGCGTCTGGGGCCTTCTTTGACCCTAGCAAGGGTTCGGGTTCCCTGTACAAAGCAACTGGGCCGATGCCTTCTAAAGGTCAAGACAGTCTTCCACAAAATGGGAGGGGAAGAGGGGGGGAAAGAGAGATTTTGGAAAAGATGGGGTGGAATTCGAGCAGGACGGATGGTGCTGGTGGCAGCAGCAGCGGGGAGGTCAGTGTGGATGTCAGAGAGAAATGGAAAGACTCAGTTGCTATGACTGGTTGTTTTACATTTCACCCAGACAGACAGACAGACAGAGACCCCCACCCTTTCCCCGTGCACAGCGCTGGCTCGCAGCCCCCTCCACCCCACCCCCAAGAAACCCAAGGGGTGGGGTGGGGAAATCAGCCTACCTGGCAATATATTTCTGGTAAATATTTACATCTTCGGTGACAGCTGGTTTGTCAGTGGTTAATCCGTTCCTAATGAGAAACACACACAGGGCAGAGATGGTTAGCGCAAGGCGGTGTCAGGATACACTCCCGAGCCCCTCTTCTCTCTCTCTCTCTCTCTCTCCTGTGAAAAGTCTGCATTCAGGGATAACAGCAGGCCCAAGAGCTGAGCGGGTTTCTTCTACGTCCTAGCAGCTGCTGCTGCTGCTGCCCCCACTGCCGGCAGGTAGCGCCTCCTTCCCAGTTCCTTCCTCCTCCCACAAACCCTGTCTTCCCAGGGGAAGGCCCCCTGGCCGCTGGAGAGCCCGCCCGGATGGTGAAGGGTGCGTCTACATGTCTCCCACGGGACACTTGTAGAAATGTGCAGCCCCTGACACACCAAGACGACACACGCAATGAACCTGGCCAGCCGACTGAAGGTGGATAAAGGAAAGGTTCGGAGATGGGACGGATCCTTCAAACGCAAAGGCTTAAGGGACCGAGTCTGGCCTCAGTGGCCAATCCTGCTTTCCGTCTTGCACAGTGGAATGCTTTCTGTCGGGAGGGTAAATGAAACCAGGGCTCAAGACATTCCCTTCCTCAGCTGGTGATGGAGCTGTCGCCAGCCTTTGCCTTCCTCTGCAGCCCTCACAGGGGCTCCGTGCCCTTTCTCGGCTGGAGGCGCCTGACCTTGGCCTTCCTTCACTGGGTCCCTCCAGATGGCCGGACAACAACACCCATCATCCCTGCTAGCATTCTGGTTGGGGATAACGGCAGCTGCCACCCCAACCATGGGTGAGAAGGGCCCACTTGGAGACAGCTACCCGAGGCTGATGGTGCAGCACCATGGAGCACCGTGTCTGAGAGAGGGGCGGCCACAGAAAGGGGTCCCCCGAGGACATGTGGTGGTGGTGGGGTGGTGGTGGGGGAAGCCCTTCCTGCTTGAGGAGCCCAACCTCCACTTCTAAGGCAGCCTCTCCTGGAAGGATGCCTGTGACGGACAAGTCAGTAACCACCCCTGTCCATCAGGAGCCATTGGCTGTACAGAAAAGGCGGGACTAAGGAAATATAAGAAGAATGGATGACAGTTAAAGAGCAGTTCGAGAGGATTTCAGTGACAGTCAGGGATGAAGTGAGGGATATGGGATGGAGAAAAGAAGTTTAAGAAGTTAGGGCCGGTCTTGTGTTAGAGAAGAATAGGGAGATAAGGAACAAGATAAGAAATGAATAAATACCTTGAGTAACATGATTATACATAAGCAAATATAAATGTTATCAAAGCACAGTTGATTGAATGAATAACGTAAGACCACCCATGATTAACTTTATATGATTTACGTATGAACACTTAAATAAACATTGTTTTATTGAATAACACTGATTTAAGAGTCATATTTGATGTAGTGAGGAGTGAACTCATCTGGTGGCAGCGGAAAGGGGTTGAAAAATAAATGTCACAACCGAAAGTGATCCTGGGTTGGGTGGAAGAACAAACGGGGGAACTGAGGGTGTGTGACAGGTGGGATTTCTGCTGGGCGACGACGGTGCCACCCACCCAACCCATGCCTGGGTCATCGAGGGGGTTGGGGGCAGGCAGGCAGGCAGGAAGCGGGGCAGACGCTGCTCACGCCTCTTCGAGGCCTTCCTTGCAGAAGGGAAACGGGACCCTTTCTAGGTGACGCTGGTCTCCTACTTTTCCTCCACGGGGCCTGCATCTCTCCCAGGTGGCTGCCTATGGAGGGGGGGTGTCAAGCAGAAGGAAGAGGCAACGGGGCCCAAGGTCACGTGGTGAGCTTCGTGGCTGAGCGGGGGACTCGGGCGTCTCCACCTCCCAAGCGGCCCCCGATCCCGCCGCCCTCTGACCACAACACTGCAGCGGCTCTTGGCGGAGGAAATCGCTGCCTGCCTGCTCGTCCCACGGCCTGCTGGCCGGCCGCCAGAGCAAGGCGTCCTTGGCTCTTCAAAGCCCTCGTGGGGATTCTTGCTCAAATTCGCAGCACAGAAGAAAGCGCGGAGAAGCACGGCACAAAAGCCATCCATCGCAGCCTTTCTCCTTTCCCCTCCACCCGCCCGACACACACACACACGCACGCACACACCCCGGCTGCCCACCGCCATCATGCCGAGGAAGTCTTGCGGGCAGAGCAGAGAGTGCACCTGAGGTTCATCCCCAACCGCGGTGGCGGAAAGAGAGAGCGTGAGAGAATGGAAGGCAGGAAGGAAACTCAGCGAAGAATGTGATTAAGAGCACACGCATGCAGGCGCACGCGAGCGCGCACACACACAAGCCAAATGTGTGGGCAGTCCCACATCTGGCTGTCCTTGACACACTCTGAGCTGATTCACGGCCTGACTTTTTTTTTAATCAACAATCTCAAGGTGTCTCACAGCTGGCTTGTGCGGTGAAGTGGCTGCCTGAGAAACCTGGCAGGCAACCAGGTGGATTTGCAGCCTGGGAGGAACACCCTGCGATAGGAAACTCACCTCGGCCAGGTAACGGAGGGAGCCGGCCGCTGGGCTGAGCACCCACCTGCAATGCATCCCGGGGGGGGGAGGGAGAGGACTATTTTTCATTCCTTGGAGCAGCTTCCGCCCTATCGGCCATCTTGTCACACCATGGGAGGAGGGGGCTTGTGACCCGCAGAATTAGAGTTGGGAAATGTAACTTTTGGGGAATGACTACTCCCACGTAACCCTCCCAATCCATCCAGTCAGTCAGACTTCAGCCCCCGCTCACCCCCAAAAAAAGTAATTCTGTGGCTGATCTGCGAAAGCATTCGCTCTAGCCAGCAGTGAGTCCAGCATGATCTGGAGGGCTAGATCCTGGCCCTTCACCTTTCCCAGTGTTCGAGCCCCTTCTGGTAGCCCTCTCCACACACCCCGCCCCCCAATTACTTAACAAGGGAAAATACTGGAGAAGCCGAAGAAACCATGCTGCAAACGTGAGGCTCAGCTCGGGACCCTCATGGTCACCAGGAGCAACAGCAAACCCCCCCCTTTGCCACCGCCATCCCAAGACAGACAGGAAAAATCAGTGGACGCACGGTGGACACACCAGTCCTGACATCCATCGTTCGGACCGTTGCCTAGCTATTAACCAACTCAGCCTCAAAGTCTTCCCAAGGGCAGCCCTGAAAGAACCTCGGAGCTTCCCCACCACAAGCCCCGTCCGAGTGCGTCGGCCCACAACCGCCTTCTCCCCGGCTGAGAGATTTCTCCTCCCAACAAAGCGTGGCTCGCTCTGACTGACAGTGCCTTGCTGGGGACTCAGTAGAGAAACTCTTTCCATGATTTTTGCCTCCCACCCTGTTCCAACCAGGAGATGCCGAACCCTTCTGCACGGGGAAAGCAGGTGCTTTACTGCTCAGATCCTGCCCTGCTTCCATTGGGATGCCCTGAACAGCATCAGGAAGAGCCAGCTTGTCCCCGCCTCCACATTAGTTGAGTAAGTCCAGGCGGAAGAGGCTGGCTGAGGTGTCTTGGAGTAGCCTTCGTAGACCTGATAAAACAGGGCCACGTTGCGGGCCTGTGGGTTGACAGTCAGGGAAGAGGGGCCGCTTGTGGTGGATCTGGGTGTGGGGGACACCTTTAAGCCTGTCGGCCTCCAGACCACAGAAAAGCAGCGACTGCACTCCAGTCACATGGCGCGCTGGACCACTGCTCCCTTCCACTCTGACTACGCTGTCTGTTGTTGATGGGGACCATGGTACTGAAGGGCACTGGGGGGGGGGGCTGGCCAAAGCACACCAATGCTGAGGCTGCTGCTGTTATTTGCCTGTGATGTTAATCCCTCTGGGTTGTTACAATCCTCTCTTCCTGCCTGATTCATTCTCTGAGCACCACTCCTGGGACAGGATTGGGCTGAACTGGCATGACTGAGTCCGACCGAGTGCCACTTGCTGACGGTCCTGGACTTCTCCTGCCTCCTCAGCCTTCTTGCCCAAACCAGGCCAATGACATCAGGTTTGATGTCCCTGTCCCTGAGTTCTGGCCATTGCCTTTGGCATCTTGAGACCCCGGGGTCCATGCTCTTAAAAAAGGCCCATTCCCGGCCTTAACATCTATGCTCCAGCTGGACTTGAGCGCTCTGGGACAGCGAGACACCCAAGTTGGCAAGAATTTCTTTAAAAATTTGGTCCCTGCGAAGGACAAGGTCCTCGGGTACACCTTGGGTTTCTGGGACTGCCGTGAACAATAAATGCAAGAGGGCCTGTGAAGAGTCCCAGTAAAACTCCAGACCCAAGGAGCAGGTGCCCGACCCCCAACAGTTGCTTCCAGCCCTCAGCTGCCCCTCTTTGTTCCAGAAGGGGAGCAGAGGCCTAGAGAAGGACAAGGGAAGAGCTCATGTCTAGCCCTCCCATCCCATGAAAGGCCTTCCCCCCCTTCCGAAGCTCCCTCCGTCCCCACCATTGGTGAAGGGAAATGCTGTGCTGAACAGGGATCCACTTACTTCACCGTGGAAACGGTTCCCGTCGTGATGGAGTCCGTTTTGGAGAATGTGGATTTCAGGTACTCTGGAGTGTTGAAGGACAGCGAGACGGCCGGCTCAGCTCCAGCCCCTGGAGTGGCGCTGGGGGTGCTGGGTAGTGGGGCGGGGGCCCCCAAGCTGGGTGCCGGCGCCTTGACCGGGGTGAGCTTCTGGATGTTGCGGACGTCGTACTTGGACGGGCGGCCCACTTTGCCTGTCTTGAAGGCGATGGCCCCTCCCATGTCTGGGCTGCCTTCGCCCGGCTTGAAGAGGTGCAAGTACTTGACGTTCTCCAGGTCGTACTTGGAGGCCTTCTTGTAGGTGTTGCCGTTCTGCGGCCGGAGGCTCTCGCCCGTCTTCAGCTTCTGGATGAAGAAGTCGTACTTGGAGGCCCGGCTGATCAGCCCTTGCATCTGGGAACTGCTGGGGGAGGGCAGGGGCAAGATGGTGGCCTTTGTTTCCGGCAGGAGGGAGAGGTCGGGCGCCGGCAACCGGATCGGCTGGCCCAGCCCGAGGGGGGATTCTTTGCTAAGCTTGCCGGTCACCAGCTCTTCAGCCTTGGAGGGATGGAGGGGCCACGGGACCTGTTCCCCGGCTTTCAACTTGCGGATGTACTCCTCGTACTTGGAAAAACGGGCTCTCTTGGCCATGGCGTCCTCGCTGGTGAGGGTGGCAGCGACGGCGGTGGTGGCTGGGGTGGTATCTGAGGTAGCGGCATTCAGCTTCTCAAAGCTAATCTTGCGAGCCAGCTCGTCCCGCATGTTCTGGTCATCGTAGCCAAACATGCCCAGAAACTCGTTCATGGTGGTAGCGGCGTAGTCTCGTAGAGACGAGGCCTCCCCTGGGGAACGCAACAGAAAGGGAAAGAGAAATGGGTGAGTCGAGTGGGGAAAGGGTCCCCTTTTCCTCTC